TTCTTTAAGTCTTCCTACCAACATGACCGAGTTGCGAAAACAAGGTCAAACAACTTCTATACAACGAAAGTAGACTGCGACCACACAAAAGTCCACACCATCTTGGTCTTCATACCATCAAATAACTTTTTCAGCCTATCTTACTCATTAGCGAATGATTTTCATTCAACAAACCCTATACTATGATTAGAAAGAAAATGCACAATAGAACAAACATATTTTGGTCATCTATATAGATTTCTACATAACCTACTACTTTCCCAAAAAAGCCTTCCTTACGTTTGTTATCTTAGACATTGAAGGGCCAAATCGGACCCAAGCTCTCTCAACAAAAGTGCTTCTTCCATCTGGTCCTACAACTTAAGGCTCTGAGATATGATCTGCAAGTCACTATTAGAAGCATTTCTTTTAGAGCTGGTAAATTCACTTGCAACGCCGGTAGATTCCTCGTGAAAATTGTGCTTCCAAATTAGGCAGGATTTAAGACGATATGGGAATCGAATCTGGGTTGTGGTAGTGCAGCCTATAATTTTGACATGCTACTATTACGATATATGAGATGTATTCACCCTATTTCATGTAAGGTGATGAAGAATTTTTAGTTGAATTTTCTCACAATGATATGAGTATAGCTGATGTTTCCATTGAATTTCACATAGCCTTGCTTTCCCAAAAGTGGTTTTCATCTAGAGTCGACTGCAGTTTCGACCTCGCCTTTGGTGAATAGATCCCATATAACTGATTTAATGGTAGTCTCGAAACTCTGCTTATAAACGAAAAATACTATTACGATGCATTGCCATGAGTGCCAGTCAGGCAAAGGACAGAAGTGAGTCTGAAATCAAGCTAGGTCTCTCAAATATCACACTTTTGTAGTGGAATTTTCAATAGGCCAAAATTGTATTATACAATTAGATTCGACTACGTTACTTAGATGAGATGAGAGACTTAATTTCTCCGAATAAAAGTTGTTTATTATGTATGCTTTACATATGAAGGAAGGCTGGGTTTAGAAGACCTTAATAAATTTATTCTGGCGTTTCTTTCAGTTTGTTTGAGAAGCGGGCGGAAGAGACTCGTAAATTGGTGACTTTAGGGATATGGTCTGTTTTGTATTTTAATCCTCTTCTTGTTTGTTTCTGCTTTGCCCAGCTGACGATCCAGACGCCCTGCCTGCCCTTGGAGTGAGTCTTGTGCAGGCGATTCGCGGTCTAAAAACTGGCCAGTCTGATTTTGGCGCCAGCGCCGGCGGTGTTGCGTCAGTCCCTCTCGCTAGTCTTGCTGCTGGCCTCCAGGCCTTGACAACAATATGTCCTCTGAGGATAGCGTGGCTATTCTGCGGCCATCTTTGGGCAGACACCGGTCTTATGGACGCCTTTTTGGCTGATCTGCGCGGCAACCGGAATGGCCTTTCTTCGGGTTGCAAAGCCAGTGGTCGTCATGGTGGCGGCAGTCTTCTCGCCTCCATCGAGCCAGCCTGGCAGTTTACTGGCTCTCTGAGCGAAGCAGTAGGTGATGGGGTGACTCCTTTATCGGTCGTCATGGCAGAGACGGCCAACAAGTTACAAGAGGGGTTACCAGGTGGTCGGATGGACGTGGTGACGAGAGAGCATTTGGTGCCATGCCCAGTCTACATCTCGCGATTGGCACGACGAAGCAATACATTAGCGCCTTCCGGAGCTGTCCAGGCCTGCAGCTCCGTTTCCGCTGATCGTCTTAATTCATGTGGCCATAGGTACGCTAATCAGGCCCAGTATACCACTGGGTCTGATGTATCTGACACGGTTGGCAAGATGGAACAGTTTCCCTGGTTGCCGACTCATTCGTTCAGCTTGCAGCCGCAATTTCGCCTACAGGCCTCCTCTTCGGCGCCCTCCCGGCTCGTTCAACTTGTGTCCCCGGCCACATCTCATGGCCCTTCATTACCGGTCTCTCCGAATCCCGGAGACGGGACCATCCTGGATGCACTTTTGGACGCAGCAGACGAACCCACCGCACCTGCGCTATTCCATAACTCCACCGTCACTGCCGTCGTCACCAACCCGACGGCCTCAACCGTCCCACTTACTTCTGCTGGTTCAGGCTCGGCAGTCAGCCTTCAGCTGCATCGACTGCGTTCGCTGCTTTCAGAGCCTGGCGACCGTCTAACGACTGTTTTACCATCACGTCCACTTTCCTTTGGCTCCCTCGAGCTGTCCTCTAGTCGATTGTTTCCTAGGCTCCCGACTGAGCATAAGCTGAACGCAACTGAACCTAATGAGATGCCAATCAACTTGGCATGACTTTGCAAGCTTATATATATATATATATATATATATATATATAAATTTCACTCAATGCTGGATGGACAGCCTATCCTATATCCTAAACGCTCCTCTGGCAAGGGATTCCAGCCGAGGCTATGCGTTAGGTGAAGGGTGCGCAAACCAAGAGGCTCCAGTTCATTGGCATTCACTTTTTTACACTTCAGATCAAGCATTTTAGGGCATTTATAGGTATCAACCCGCTGAAAAGACCAAAAGATTTATTGAATAGGCCTACTCACTTGCGAAAGAGAGGTTAAGCTATACTTTAAAAGGCCTCGCTATTTTGATTCAGTTATTCGGCACTTATTGTCACCATTCACCCGCCAACCATTCTCTCTATCCACTTCTCTCCGGTCTACAGTTGTGTAATCAACCATCTGATCAAATCTTACCTAACCTAACCAATAATTTGTATGCATCTTGCTCAACCAGCCAATCCATCATTCACCGGCCCATTCGTATGTCTATCTTAATTCTTGTGCCCCTATTTCTGCCTTTCTGCCTCTGCCTCTTTTGGCTCTTTCCATCTCTCATTCTCTGTGCTAGATAACTAGGCATCCATTTATAAATTATTGTTCCATGTATACTTCTCAATCCTCCGACACACATAATAAGCCTATTTTCTTTTCATTTCCTACCATTCGTAGACCTATTTTTGGTTTTTTATCTAATTTTTTGAGGGGTTTTCCCATCACTTCCGCCCACCACGTTAACTCTCCCCTCCGCTCAAA